TAAAATATTAATAATTTAACGATGAAGAATCCTAGATATTGGAGTTTTTTAACTAAATGATTTTTATTTTATTAATGTAAATTATTTTGTTTTCAAAATAAAATATTCTTATTTGTTTTATAATTTATATTATTTTATTATATAAAATAAGACAGTCTCATTATTGTTATTGTTATTGAATTTGGATATTTTAATTTGTTTCTTTGACAGCAAAAGAAAGAGAAAAAAATCATATTAACGGGTGTTGCAAATTCAAGTACAGCAGGAGCCACTAGCAGCTCATGGATTGATAAATACATCAAACATCTTAATTCATATTAAAATTTAAGTTCATATTGAAACATTTGTAATTTTTTTTTTGTCATTCAAAAAAAAAAAGAAAAGAAAAGAAAAAGGAGTACAGCACGAGGAAATTAGAAGCTGGCAATGAAGGGCTGACGGTCCCCCAGCGGTTGTTCCATTCAAGGATTGACACTCTTGGGTGTCATTCCTTATCCAAATCTCCAAATTACGAATTTTCCAGAAAAAAAAAAAAAAAATTGTTAACGCTTTCAAAAGAAGATAAGTTTCAAGTCTCCCTGGCCTATAAGTAAACACACTAGGTGTAGACACTAGGATCTGATTCTTCAAAGTTAAAAGAAAACTTCTTTTTGACAATATATATATATATATAAAATATTCTTTTATAATTTAAATGGTAAGAATTATTTTTTTTTGAACATTTTGGCAAAGGAGAGTTTCGAAATCCATCCAAGAGATGGAGAAATGTATTGGTTGACTGGTTAATATCAGTGGACTTATAAGGTTAGGTGCAAATGCTAAGAATTTTTTGATTAAAAAAAATTTAATATTAAGACATTTTTTAAATTAAACATTAATATTTTATTATTTAAAATAATTCAAACTGAGATAATATTTTCTCTTGAGATTTAAGTTTAAGTGATTAAGCTGGAAAGGTAACACTTATTTATTAGACAAACAGTCTTGTGATTTCTCAAAAAAAAAAAAAAAACAGTCTTGTGATTTAGAGTTTAATTTTTACTTTTTATGTATAAAAAATACTTATTTATTAATAAATCAAATTATTTTAGTTTAAAAATATAAATTAAAATTTTTTAACATTTTAAATATTAAGCATTTTATAAAATTATTTAAATATTTTAAATAAATTAATATATAAAAATTCATTAAAAATATTTATATAATTTTATAAAATACTCTAATATTTTAATTATCACAACATCCAAATTTTTACTTTCCTCAATCATCTATTACCTATCTGTATGGATAAAAGAATGATTTATTGTAGTACCTAGTCCACTTGTGTTGTTGTTGTTGGTTTTTTTTTTTTTTTTCCATGAACAATTAATACATATTTTAGATATATGAAAATTGAAAAAAAAATCCTATAAAATTTAAGGACACAACTAACAAGAAATGATCTCTATTGATCAATAGTCTTAACAACTAAGCCAAAGCACGGAAATCATGGTCCACTTGTGGTTTTGGTAATTTCTGGGTGAATTATCATTATCATATAGTACTAGTAACATGCATGTATCTGTTGGAAAGTGATAAACAACTAAGCTTAGATATTTTTCTTTTTTCTCATTCCAGCTGTCCAGTAAATTATAATAGTACTTAAGAAGATTCGATCTTCCCAATTGTAGATATAGCCTGTACTTTCGTTTGTGGGCTCAAGGCAAATAAATGCTAATTTACGGTTAGTGGAACAAAACAAAATCAGAATTGAATCCAGAGGCAATCTAAAAATCCATTACTTCTCCTAATTAAAGGTTATTAAAGAAAGATCATTCTTCGCTGGGCAAATCTTAATCTGCTTACACTTGGCTGGTAGTGATGCTGTTCTCCAAAAATCCTCCTTTTCTTGGTATCGCGTGGTAGACCAACACAATTGTGTCAATACTTGTTCTGCTAAATGCAAGAAAGATGAATTTCCTTGATGATCCTCTTCTTTCAAGTAATCAACCTTTGTTTGGGATAAGTAGAAGAATATCAATTATCTGTTGAAAATGTGTCTCAAATCAAATCAAGACAATATTACAGGAAAAAATAATACTGACAAAATATATTACAAACTTGTTTTGAATAACTCTAAGAACTTTTCAATTTCCATATTTAAGAGTTACAATGAAGTTTATTAATTAAGTAAAGCAAGAAAATAAGATTGCATTGTAGATTTGGAAGGTAGATTAAAGGTAAAGTGAGTTACAGATTTTGTTATAACAGACAAATTTAAGTAAACAACTACTACTAGGCTTTAATGAAACAATTTGCAGAAATGTATACTGAGTGCCTTGAGAATAACATGACCCTTTGCAACATAATGTAATGAGATCGCATTAACTATAATGAAATCTATTTATAAAACTAAAACTTGATTGCATTGATAGAATTGAAATCTATAAACAAAACTTGAAGAATTATTGACATAAAACAAAACCTATGAAGGTAAAAGGATAGATCCGATATAAAACAATCAAAACCTAAAACTAGAGAGCTTAAGAGCTGATCTTCTAAATTAAAAGCTAATTGAGAGCTTGGCTAAGGTATTTTGTTGTGTTGTTTTGTGTAGAGAAGGGCAGGCACTCTTTGAATGTGTTGCTTCTTTATAATTATCGCTAAGAAATCCCCAAAAATAGGTGAGTTGTAACCACCTACAACACAATTGTGAAAAAAGAGGTTAAAACTTGAGATTTGATTAGATATGTCAATAGCAAACTTGGTCAAAAACTACTCCAAAATTCGCTAAATGTCCACCACTTCAATAGATCAGCTTCTCGCGTCTCCCATTCACTAAGCTTAATCAATAACTTTCCCTAAAATTTAACAATTATCTCAACTAAAATCAAATGATTTTAGATTATTAAGAGATGGTTACCAACAACTGCAAATCCGTTATTTCACATGACGATCATCTACAAAGTCTGTCATTCTCTAGATCATAACAAAATTAGATCTAAGGTGGCTTAATCGTAGCCACTTGTTCAAATCACAAAATATGTGACATCATCTAATAATTTTACAATTTATGGTGTAACAGATACTAATCTCTCAACCCATAAACAAAGCAATATTAAAAAGGGGGAGAAGGGGAGAAGATGAGATAAAAAAGAAGAAAAGTTGGATGAAGAAGAAAGGGAAGAGAAGGCATGCACATGTCATCAATGCTGGCTCGGCATAAAGAAGCAGTGATTAGTGTTGTAAGTGGCCTTCATCCTTAATTTAACGGAAAGTTGATGCATGTTTGTGTTTTTGTTAAATTTGAATTGATTTATTTCAATTAAAAAGTATATAAGTGGATTTATTTGTAACATTAAATTCTAAGAGTTGATAAATTTCAAAAAATAATAAATGAGTAAATTTCAATAAACTCAAAAAATACAGTGAGTTAAAATACCTTTTTGGCCAAATTCAATCATCAAACTTGGAGGTTAGTGTTCTTTGCTAGTGAGCATTTTTTAGTACAGGTTGAATATGAGCAATATTTAGTGCTTAATTTAAAAATTTTTAAGTATGAAACCTTTTAGATATAATACTTAACCAAATACTTGAAGACTTATAAATGGTATGTAACCTAATAAGTATTAGGTAACTTATGGTATATATTTATATATTTTGAATGATATTTTGCTTTAAATTTTTTTCAAATTAAAATTTAAGAAAATATTATTTACTTTTAATCTAAACTTCAATAAAATTAATAAAAATTTAATAACATATTATTTTTTACAATCTAACCTTAAATATAATCTAAAATAACAATAAAGAATTTTAATTTGGTTTCATATCCAAAACTCAAATCTATATATAATTAAAAAACTAAACTTAATCAAATAATTAACAATAAATACTGAAAACTATGTACTCAAAAAATAAAGAATGAAAATAAATTAAATAATGGAATGAAAGTCCTTTAAATGAGATGTTCAAGTTTTTAGGCTTATAGTCCCCCTAATCCTATCTAAGTTTTTGGGTTTATAATCCCTCAAATCCTCTAATTCAATTTGTTGGAAATGGATAGTGATTGATGATCTTGTATTTATTTTAACATCATGATATTTATATTTTTAATTTATAATTTTTATCATATTAAATTTAAAGTTAAAAAATCATTTATACAATAAATAAATATTATAACTTTGAAAATCACTCATAGAAAAGTAAAAAGAAAACTAATAAAAAAAAATCAAACTTTAAAGTTATATGTACTCATATTGCCTAGGAGCACAAGAAAGGGAAAAAGTTGTTGGCTTTGTGGGTGATACGTGTTTAATTTAGAATTTGTTATTTACTAGTTGCATGTATGATTTCTTTTATTTTAAATTTTAAATTTTATTATTTTTATTTTTAAAAATTATTGTTATTATATATATTAAGTATTATAAGTATATATAAAATTTTAATTATACAAGCATAAATAATAACAAGTCCATTTAATAAAATAGTTAAATAGGTCAAGCAAACAATTTTGACACCTTATACTTATTCCTTAACTTGATATTTAGATATATTATTTTTATACCCATTATTTACTTTATTTTTTTGTAATTTAAGAAAAGTATTTACCCAAATAAAAAAAATACTTATAAATAAACGGATATATATATGTATCCAATGCTCATCCCCATTCTTGCCCCCACGTGCATCAATTTCGCTTTCTAAAGAAGGGTAAATCAGTAAATGGATGGTTTTGAACTCCTTTCCCAAAACCATGTGCCATTGCCTTTCCTCTGAGCCAGCCAAACGCCTCTGCTTACTCTGCGAGTGATAATTCACCAAGAACAAATCGCATATTAAAAGTCCTATTTTACCCCCACCCATTTCTGTCATTTAGCCGATCCTGAAGACCCTTTTTCGTCATATCACCTCCCAAAACCATTAGCATTACCCTTGGTTTCTTTCCAAACCTACTGCTGCCACTACCTCTGTTTCCCCATCCTCTCCTCTATATAAGAAACGCTCTTTATTTCACTTATCCATCAACAAAAGAACAAGATCTCACCATAATATTTTAAATTCTGCTAGCAAAGGGTGTTCGTTTACAGAAGCAAAATATTACAATGAGTTCAACAAGCAGAGCTTGGGTTGTGATGGCTACAGTTGGAACAGTGGAGGCACTGAAGGACCAGGGAATTTGCAGATGGAATTATACATTAAGGTCGCTTCAGCAGCATGCCAAGAACCATTTGAGGTCAGTTTCACAGACCAGGATGCTGTCTTCTCAGTCTTCTGCTGCTGTTCGGAATCAATTGAGAGAAGAGAAAGCAAAGCAATCTGAAGAATCTCTGAGGACAGTCATGTACTTGAGCTGTTGGGGTCCCAATAATTGAGGAAAAT